GCAACTGAACATTGTCAGATATAGTACCAGAAAGTGAAAACATTACAAATAGCAGCTGAATGTTGTCAGATGAAATACCAGAAGTTGAGACCCTCAGTTTGGAAGGCACTCAAAATGTGACTGGGGAAGAGCTGTCTCTTCATAGTAGCATTGAATGGAGTAAAGTATTTGAGAGCCTCATTTGCTGATGGGGCACAACTCAAAATGAAAAGAAAGAGCTGCAAACCCTCAATAATAGAACATGTTGTTGTTGTTGTTGTTGTTGTTGTTGTTGTTGTTGTTGTTGTTGTTAAGAGCCATGGAGTCAATTTGGACTCATAGTGTAGGGTTTCTGAGGAGTGACTAGTAAGCTTGAATGACGACCTTGAAGTTCAAAACAACTTTGCAGTCCAGCACATTAACCCACAGCCCCACACTTGTTGTTAAGTGCCGTCGAGGCAGTTTCGACCCATAGCGACCCTGAACAGGGTTTCCGAGGCTGTAAATCTTTACGGGAGCAGATCGCCTCATCTTTCTCCCACGGAGCGGCTGGTAGTTTCAAACTGCTGACCTTGAGGGTCTCAGCCCGATTCGTAACCACTATGCTACTAGGACAACACATTAATCCACAGCACCACTCAGAACATGGAATGCACAAAATAGCAATGTAGGAAAGTTGAAACTTGTCCAAAATGAAATGGATAGGTTATCGGGAGAAACTAGTCCCTGGAGAAGGAAATCATGCTTGGTAAATTGGAGGGTCAGTGAAAAAGAGGAAGATCCTCAGTGAACTAGATTGACATAGTGACAGCATCATTCAATATATTACCTATAGAATCCTTCAATATTACATATTAAGGCTTGAATTTTTTCTTCAGTTCTTTCAGCTTGAGAAATGCTTAGTCTGTTCTTCCCTTTAGGTTTTCTAACTCCAAGTACTGATTAGGACAAGCAAATGACACTGTTTATCCTAGATGAGAGACAAAACCCCTCTGTTCCCATGGAGAGAGGCTCTGGTTGGCTCTTCACCTCTTGTTTCTTTTCTTCTCTCCACACCCCCCAATACAGTGGATGAAGGACTGTGAACTTGGACTGCTTTGAGAATCAGATGAAATTGATGGCACTCTCTTCTCATAGAAACACTCAGACTGGGGTGTTAGAAGCTCATGAGCAACCATATGAGGTGAAACCATATAAAGTCTTTCCATGTCCAGAGGAAAGAAAAGTGATGAATATCAAATACACATGGAAACAATTAGTCCAGTGAACTAATCGATTGTGCAAACATCAGCCTCTGTGACCTTGAGATCAGCAGAAGTAGATGATACCCAACTACCATTGCCTACTGATCTGAAAGTGTTCACCTTCAAATGTCCTAGGTTGAGTGGGAGAAGACCATGAGGCAAATCTCAAAATCATAAAAAAAATACCAGGGTTACAGGTGTAGTGGAAAGAGACTGTGACCCTCAGTCATCCTTCAGTTCTGGAAATGAACTCCCCCCTTGACTAAGTTTTCAGCCAAACAGTGACTATAAGGAGACCTTACACGGTTTCACCTCATATGGTTGCTCACGAGCTTTTAACAGCCCAGTCTGAGTGTTTTTATGAGAAGACAGCGCCATCAATAATACTAGTGAAGTCTGAACACCTTAGAAAAATCAGCCCTTTTAGATCCAAAAGGGTGCTGTTGATCCAAGCACAAAGTTCAGAAGGTAGGAAAGAAGAAGGAATGAAAACAAGAAGCACAGAGAGGAAGTGGATGTGTTATTACATTGTGGGGATTACAGTCAATGTATTTGTTTCTCAATCCATTTTGAGAACCAAAATGTATATAGAAAACTGTTCTGCTTTGCTAGCCGTCACAATAATCACAATAAAAAAGTTTTAAAAATAGTCTCACAAACAAAATCTCGCGTTCAGTATAATATCAGATTTACAGATCCATGGGTTGCAGGTAAGGAGCCATTCCCCAATACATAGTAAGGAAACCTGTAGTGTGGCATTTTAGTCCAGAAGTTACCAGGGTGGAAGGAAACATTTCCTTTGAGTAGTACCCTCTCAAACGGATGAATGAGCAGCTTCATAACTAAGCTAATCCATGTTTTGAAACAAAAGGATGCCAGTCAGGAGTTAACTTTGTTAGACCACAGTGTTCCTTCTGTATTATGCAGATGCCATCTTGGACCCAGGAATTCTCTGGGTCTGTGAAATGAAAACGAAGAAAGGCACATTGATCTTCTTCTGAAAATCAATCCATGGAAACCTCATGAATCACAACAGAACATTGATTAACTCATTTACTTTGGACACATAATCAGGAGGCATCAGTTGATAGAGGGGGACATCATGCTTATGAAGCAGAGAGCAAGGGAGGCCCTCAATGAAATGTAATGGCATAATAGTTGCAATTAAGGACTTGAACATTCTGGTGATGATAAGGATGATGCAGGATTATGCAGTGTTTCATTCATTAAGAGTCAAAGTTGACTTGATGACTCTCAGCCTATCTATCTATCTATCTATCTATCTATCTATCTATCTATCTATCTATCTATCCACGAAATGGACATATTAAGTAGCATTGTTGAAAGACAGCCTATTTGTGAAACAATTATCTTTTTGCTGTATTTGAAGCATTTCAAACTGACAGTGTTTCCAACACAGCAAATATCCCGGGTCTCTTGCTGGTATAGACTGGACAAATGCAGAGCACATGCCCTAGAATAAATGAGTGGAAGCAGTTTTCATGCAGATGCATCTGGTTCCTCATGGTAAGTGATCAAAGCAGGCAGGAGAGTAAGATCAGTGAGACTTGGGTCCATGCTTAAGTGAAGAGATGGCCCAGGGCCACTGCCTTCTTTATAAATCCCATCAAAGAACCCACAAGCATGTGTGTGTGTGTGTGTGTGTGTGTGTGTGTGTGCTGAAAAGACTGGGGTAGGCTGCAGAGGGTCTCATTCATTCATCCACAGCCACACTGCAGGGAGACCACAAGGACAAGAGGGACATGGATCCTGCTTATAATAGAACAGGGAAGGCAAGTATCCAACAAGTAATCACCAAGTACAGGACTCTGACCAGCTAGGCTAAGTCCAAGTTGCCTACAGGGGCTGACAGAATCCAGGGCAAGGGTGGCCCCCCTCTCTTTGTTTCTTTATTCCCTCTACTCTGCCACTGCCCGTGGAGTGTGATGAGGACAATGAAGGCTGCAGAGACAGCAGCAGAGTTGCAATTATAGTGACTGATTGCTGTGTGCAGTTAATGCTAAGAAAAGGCAATTACAGTAAATTATGTTCTAGGACATCAGAGTGTTTGGAAGTGCAGCTAGATAAAATGAAACTCAGCTAATCACGACTTAATTAATTACTATTGTCCTAGCAAGCTTTTCATTTTATATTACCTTAGCTTTATTTCATTAAAAAACTGAGCTGTCAAGCTCAGTGCTAAGTCAAAAAATTTGAGGGAGGAAAAAATTAAAATTGATCTTAAGAGTCATGAGTTGGGGAAAAAGAGAGAGAAGCTAAGTGACAGATTGGAGTTCCTTCTCAAACCAACATAAATACCCAAGTCCCGTTTACACAGAGGTTTAAGGGACTGTGAAAAATGAAGATCCAGGTCGTAAGTTATCTATGGGTCTAATATTTTGGTGCATTGCAGACATTGTTCCTTTTTAGTTGGAGTAAATAACATGTGGATCACTACACTTGCCAGTAAAATATACAAATTCCACTGATGACACAGAAAATGGGACCAGAGAGATACTGGTTTTCTGGAGATGGCATGACAGTGAGTCAAGACATACCCCCAGGTCAGTGGGCTGTGCCTTGACCACAGGGTCCACCAGTGATTTGAAGTTTGTCCTCTTCAGCACTGCAAAGTACTCAGGATCTACCTGTAGTGTGGTATTTCACCCTGTTTGCCAAATGTGCCACTTCACCCAGGTCCTTACTACTTAGTGGTTACAGCTGAATCACAGCACAGTCTCTACATTGCCAATGTTGAGGAAAGTAGATGTGAAAGGAACCATTCACCCAACCAACCAAAAGTGTAATCCACAGTAATCTGAGGCAGGCTTATTCAGGGTTCCACAGTATCAGTTCTGACTTCCATGCAATTCTCTCAGCTTCTTTTAGCCCCTGCATGTCCACCACAGCTTGAAACACCATATCAACATTCTAGACAAAGAAGGAAGAAGGGCTATGCCTTCATGAGTCCTATTTTTATTTTATCAGTTATCTCTAGGTGCACCTTCCCATAATCCTCCTTCTGTGCCCTTCTCACCCAGAGGCCTTTTCTGAGAGCTCAGCATGGCCACACAAATGGCTGTAACCAAGATGTAGAAGCAGCAGCATTTCAAATCTTGCTTGTGGCACTGGATAAAGAAGAAGGGGCTGGGAGTGGGTTTGTGGAGTCAGATACAAAATACCAACTCAGATACAACATCCCAAACCTCTTCATTTCTCTCCAGCTCATGATCTAAGAAGTTTAGATCTTATGAAGGTAGCCTTTCATTATGTAATTGAGTACCGAGAAATGTACGTTTTGGCCTTATATCACAATATTTAATTTACATATAAATTTTATCAACTACATCTATGTCTAGTGTGGAGATGGTCAGGACATGAGTGGCTTAGTGGCCACATGGTCACTTACCAGAGGAAAGGTAGTCTCAAGAAACTTGAAATTAATAATCTGATGCCATAGTTTTTGAGAAATGACCATTACAATTTCCCCCATAGCCCTACTGGGTTGTAGAGATGAAATGAGGTTTAAATGTGAACATAATTTGGAAATTGTTGCTGAAATAAATGATGGTGTTCAAGGTGGAGTAGCAATGGAGTCAGACCCAGACACCCTTCATCTACCATTCTCCCAAACCCCAGTGCCCACATTGGTGACTACTCCGAATCATAGGTGTTCCCTTGGAGCCAAATAAAATGGAAGCTTTTTCCTGCCTCCATTCACAGATGTACTCATTTTGATTCATTTTTCTTCTTCATTCTTCCTGTCCAACTCTGCAGACCAACAAAGCCGTGGCCAAGGGAGACTTCCACCATGCCAGCACCAGCTCTCGCCGAGCCCTCTTCCTGGCTGTGCTCTCCATCACACTGGGAACTGGCATCTATGTGGGTGTCGCTGTAGCCCTCATCGCCTATCTCTCCAAGAACAACCACTTATAAGTCTCTAGGTGCAAGGCGAGGGCCTGGATCATCTAGTAGGTAGATGAAGACAAGGAAGAACTGCCATGGGAGCACATGCTACATGATGCTATACAGAAAATAATGGCAGAACAATTCTAGGAAGCCCTGGAATGTTCTACCCACAGATTTCCTATGTTTGTATCCTTTCATTTTATCTTCTCAGCACTACGTAATACAAGAGACAGATGAACGTTGCAGATTAGTTCCCATGGATATTCCAAAGAAGATACCAATCTACAAGGTTGCCTCTGGATGGTTCTGGGTAGGTGAGCAGCAGTGCAACACTTTCCACAGCCTGCCCGTGCCTGCAAGACCACCGCATTAGCAATATACAACAATTTTAAAAATATTTATTTTTTATGGACCATGATAAAATAGGCAGAAACAGGGGCAACCCTGTTTGACACTTTTGACATTCTCCAAGTCCACAGACTTTCGCTATGAAACAAAACGGGTTGAGGATGAAAAGCTCATTCTACAAACCACCCAAAAGAACAAAACAAAGAAACAAAGCGGCAACCTGGTAGGACCCTGGGCTCACTGTTCAGCAAGTAAGCCCAGTTCTGAAAGAGCAAAGCCATTGTAGCCTGGAATCTACCCAGGCCAGTGTTCCTTTCAAGCCCTCTTACTTCTGATACAGAGAAAGCTAGGAATCCTTCTAAGCCTGTCAAAATCAGCAGTGACCAAGCAATCTTGTTATCTAGCTGACCTAGGATGGGGAAGGCAGAACACAACCCTCCTCTTAAGACCCCAACAAAACAGCCAAGTTTGTGCTCCAGAAACTCAAGGCAAAGAATCGGTGGACTATCCCTATCACAAAGACAGGGGATGTCTGTAATCCCCTAGGTGACATTCAGTAGAGTGATAAAAATGACACTTATAAAAAAGAGGAACCTTTGTTTTGTTGACTTGATGAATATTTATTTTCTTGTCATTTTTAAGTCACAAGTTTTGTTTCATGTTTCTTAACTTATCAGATGAATGCTAAGAAATAAGTAATCACAAACATTTTAATGCCATTTCATTGTTCTTTTACTAATGTACATTATTTAACAAAATTTCTTTTAACTTTTTTGCATATGACTTTTTTTTCCAATTAGTATCAATGTTGTTATTGTTGTTAAGTGCTGTCAAGTTGGTTCTGACCCATAGAGACCCTGTATAGGGTTTCCGAGGAGCGACGGGTGAGCTTGAACCACCAACCTTGCAGTTCAAATGGCTTAGCAGTCTGGCACACTAGCCCACAGTGCCACACCAGGAATGGTTCGGTTTTATTTACACTTTGTACTTATCAAACAATAACTGCAGGGAGTCCTGGTGTGACACTGTAAGATAAGCACTGAACTGTTAACCACAAGGTTGGCAGTTCAAACCCACCAGCTCTCCTAGGAAAACTTTTACAGTATTGTTATAGTCAGACTTGCTGCACTTAACTACAACAAACAACTGCAGAGCCACCCAGGACTGAAACAGTAGCTGAGTTTCCAACAGCCCTGACTGCTTAGGTTTCTACTTTGGGGATGACTAAAACTCCCTAACACACTCTGTGGGCACAGACGCCATCTTTTCTTGATAATGGTTCTGCCTGGACCTCTGTAGAGATTCTTGATGCCTGGATCCCAGTAACAGAAATCCTCATATGATTGATCAGTGATGCAGCCTAGTGACTCCAAAGTTGAAACTCACTGCTCTGAAATAGGATTCCTCTCACCTGCCACTCTCCCCTTTTACCTCGAACATTTAAATTTCTAATAATTATAAGCACTTCCTTTCTAAATTCAATCCAATATCCCTTCAGCATTTGTCTCTAATGGCTACTACAAAATGTACTCTAAGATCCTAACCCTAAGTACAATATATGGAAGAAGCCTAAATATCCCTGTAAGAGTGACCTGGTAGTGAAGAGCATGGGCTTAGGATGAAACCAATCTGGGTTTTAATCCATTTGCGCTAACTTCTAGTTGAGTGATCTTTGGACAAACGTCTATATTTCCGTGAGCCTTATCTCTAGAAGATGTTAATAAATAAGGCCTATATAGGAGTCTCTCATACTTTGGACATATTGTCCGGAGGAAACAGTTGCTGGAGAAGGATGTCATGCTGGATAAGGTGGAGGGTCAGAGAAAAAGAGGAAGACCCCCTAACGAGATGGATTGGCCAGGTGGCATCATTGATGGACTCGAGTGTGGCAGCGGTAGTAAGGTTGGCCCAGGATCGGACATTGTTTCGTTCTGCTGTGCATGGGGTCGCTATGAGTCGGTTCCAACTCGATGGCACCTGACAACAACAACAAAAGGAGTCCTGGTGTGGCACTGCAGGATAAACTGGACCACAGGGTTGATTTGAACCACAAGGTCAGTGGTTCAAACTCACCAGATGCTCCTCGGAAAACTTATACTGGGTCACTGTAAGTCAGAATTGACTCAATGGCACTTAACAACAATAACTAGGACCGGAGTACTGGTGTGGCACTGTAGGATAAGCACTGGATTACTAACTGCAAAGCCAGCAGTTCAAACCCACTAGTTGCTCCTTGGAGACCCCATACAGGATAGCTAAGAGTCAGAACCAATTGGATTGCACTTAACAGCTTACTAGGATCACTGAGTTATTGTGAAGCAGTGAGTACAATGCTCTGTTCTGTGGTCAGAGCTTTCTAATGTTTAGCATTAACTCATTTCATTCTTAAACTCCTCATTGCAGACATAGTAATCTCTCCAAAGCCATGTACCTAGAAAATGGCAAAGTTAGGATGCAGACGTTGGGTCCTAACTCCCAAGGACTTCCTACTGAAACATGTTGCCTTAGCTATTGCTTTAGGAAGCAAGGTAAATTGTCTTTTGGTCCAAATCAAATTGTTGGTGGGGCAGAACTCTTACAGACTTGAAAGAATTTCACTAGGTAATCCCACCTCACCAGATGCCCCCACCTCATCATGTCTCCCCACTTTGCCAGGTATCCCAATCTATTTCACCAGCTATCCCAGTTTTCCAAAGGGAACTAAAATGGGTTCCAAGGAAAACATGGGGAGAGGCTGCATTTATCACTTACTATGAAGTTGGAGGGATGCCAGAGATACCACAGAAAAGCAGATGTCACTGTTTACCAGGAAGAAGGCCCCAACAACAAGACTGTCCTCTCCAAATGCTGGGGTGGAAATTCCTTGACCTCATACATCCACCCTGCACCTCTGAAAGTACTAAAGTCACCTCACATTCATAGCAGCCTATGGGTTTTAACTATATGAATGGAGCAAACTTCCCAAAGGCTATGACTCCCTGGAAACACATGCCACGTGGCCATCACAGATAAGGCCAAATAGAGGAGATCCGTGGCCTGAGTTCTAGAGCCTAATCCCTCCCTTTTTACAGGGTCTCTTAGGGACCTTTCGTATACTGGCTTAAAAGTCAACCATAGAGGACATTTCTGTATCTCTCCCCATGTTCCCATCCACCTGAATCAGTTGCCATGATCATTGGCATTTGTCAGCACAATACATCTTTAGATGTAAATTCAGACCCTCTCAGATAATGCAGACCCCCTTTTCGTATTGTGAGACCATACCCATGCTACTGCTCTGCATTATGATATGGTAGCTGCCCCAGGCAGGCATATACAGAAAAGGTCTTTGCTGGTCTCTCCTTGAAACCTCTTGACAGTTCTGTCAGTTTCCAGGACTAGCTAAACTACTAAGGTGGGGAAATTCTTTTGTTCCATGTCCTGAGGTTCTCATCTAGAGACCTAGTACATCTCTGCAGAGTAATGATAGTGCTAAGAGCCAGGCACACAGGGCCCTAGTACAGATAGTAGACAACGGACTTGTCAGACAATGAGCTCCAGGTGAGGAGTCAGACTTCCGCAGATCACAGAAGTAAGGCTGGGAGCTGGCAACTCTGCAAACCAGACTATGGGGAGTCAGATTCCACAGGCAGGGGTGGATGGAGGTGTAATCTGGGCAACGTCCAACAACAACCATTGCAGTAATGGTTCTCAATCAGAACTATCTGCCTCCAGGAGACTTTGTACAATGTATGGGCATACCTTTGGTTACCATTAATTAGTGATCGCCAGTAGGAGATAGGGATGCTGCTGGTATCTGGTAAGTGAAAGCCAGTTGTACTGAACATCTCCAATGCACAGGACATTCCCAAAGCAGAATCCAGCCCACATGTCAGTAGTGATGAGAAACTGTACCCATCACCTGCCTTGTCTACTTGCTCACAGATGCCTGTACTTGACAAAGCCGCTCTGCATTAGACACCTACAATTGGAGCATCAGCCAAGTAAGCGTGGAGTCTACTCTGCAGATACCTACACCTCAAGAAGTTGCTCTGCATCAGGAACCTGTGGGCAAAGCACCAGTCAGATCAGCTGGAGACTACTCAGATCAGCAAGGCTGTAGTAAAAACACTTTCACGACAACGTGAGAGAAAAGAAGGGGAGGGAAAGAAACAGGGACTAGCTTCCTCTCTTCTGACTTCTGGAAGAAGCTGCTGAGTCCAACACTGCTTCAGCATCTGGGGCGACCTTCTAACTGCCTCAACCTGTAAGAATATTAAAATTATGACAGTAGCCCTCGCCTGATGTGACTTTAAACTTAAGAAAATATGTTTTTCCATCCATCACATTTTTAAGTCCACAAACTTCTTCCAGCTCAGAATGGGCTCTCAGACAAGGCGATATCCAGTGAACACTTGCTCAGTGAAAACAGCCAGTGCAGCAAGTGGACATGGTCCCCAAGGTCCACAAGTTTTGCAAGCTTGTGGTGAGGAGATCAGATCCATAAGGCCATGACTGCTCACAAAAGTCTCTGAGTCATAATTCAGATGAGTATGAGCTGTGTGACCTGGAGCAGGTTAACAGTACAGCTGTGGGTATGAGCATTAATAAGTGATCTGAAGGACTGTGGTGCGGGTCAAATCCAAAGACTCTTGTTAAGGGCCATCGAGTTGGTGCCCACGCATAGCAACCCTGTATAG